TGGTAAATACCATATTTTTCTAATTCTAAGGTACCCTGAAGCTTGACAATATATGGAAACTTTTTTAAACAAATGCAGTTATTCTTTAGGTGCATTGCTCTTTGTCTTCTTATAAAGGGGCTCTTTTTGGGGGGAGGCTGAGAAAAGATTTCTATCCTTTCCTTAGACTCATGTACATGTACATATTCATACATTTTTCACAGAACCATGAAGTCACCCTCAGATTTCTCAGGTTAAAAACTTCTTTGTGTGTTTTCATGACATTACATATTTTATTCCTGGGATGATATAATTATGGATTTTACAGATTTTCTCTTCCCTCTACTAAAACTTTACATTCACCCTATACAGAGAAGTGTTTCTAAGCACAATCAGTACAGCAATACATATGTTGAAAAATGCTGTTTTGTTAGGCTTTAATTTAAAAATAAAGATAATAGAAAACAGAAAAATCTAATTTTAAAAAGTTTACCCTCACACCTACTAAAAAGTTACTTCTTTTACCTTTAGGATTATGATTTTTACTCTTATTTATTTCATTCCTCTCCCTACATTTAATATGATAGTCTGTTACTTTCTAAATGGCACAATTCTTTCTTTATTGTTTTTCATTTTCATATTAATACCTTTCCATGAATCAAATTTTGAGACTGAGTAAGTTTTATACTATGAAAAGAACCTACCTGACAAGGACAACTTACAAGAGGAAAGATCTATTTTGGCACATGTTTTCAGAGGATTCAGTCCATGGTCAGTTGGCGTCTTTGCTTTGGGCCTGAGGAAGGCAGACCATCATGGCAGAAGGGTATGGTAGAGGAAAGTTGCTCAGCTCATGATAGCAGGGAAGCAGAGAGACGGGTAGGGAAAGGTTCTGGGGAGAAGATGAACCCTTCTAGGGCCTTCCCCCAGTGACCTGCTTCCTCCAACCAGGTCTTACCTCCCAGTGGTCCATTGAGGCATCAATGGATTAATCCACTAATGAGGTCAGAGCTCTCATGATGCAATCACTTCCCAAAAGTTCCACTTCTGAACACATGAGTGTTTGCCAAACATTCCAGAACCAAACCATAACTGGGATGTATATATTATTCTTTTATTTTTTTTCAAATTTTTATTAAATATTTCACAAATGTTAGTGTCTATAACATAGCATTTGTTGAACAGCATAGGAAGAATGCAAAGCTAAACAAAGTATAAAACAGCAAACTATTGAGTTTGTTGCTTGCATGGTGGGTTAGGAAGTGAGGACTAACATGACAAAATATCATAGCTTAAGCAACAGAATTTTATTTTCTCACAAATCTGAGGCTAAAAACCTGAGATCAATATGCCAGTAGAACTATTTACTTCTTTTTTTTTTTTTTTTTTTTTAGATTTCCATGCTGACAATTTTATTTATTAGAAGATACAGGAAATAGTGAGAAAAGTTGCCTCTCTGGATTTAATTCTGAGCAATAAGGAAAAGATAGTTACCTGGAAATTATAAGATAAACTATACTATTTTGGACATTTAAATAGAAAAATAAGTGAATTCTGGGCATAGTCAAATACAATAGAATTCATTGTCAAATACAATAGAAATAAGGTGCTTTTTATTTTATTTTATTTTATTTTATTTTTTTTTATTGTTGGTTGTTCAAAACATTACATAGTTCTTGATATATCATCTTTCACCCTTTGCTTCAAGTGGGTTATGAACTCCCATTTTTAGCCCATATACAGATTGCAGAATCACATCAATTACACATCCATTGATTTACATATTGCCATACTAGTGACTGTCATGTTCTGCTACCTTTCCTATCCTCTACTATCCCCCCTCCCCTCCCCTCCCCACCCCTCTTCTCTCTCTACCCCCTCTACTGACCTTCATTTCTCCCCCTTGTATTATTTTTCCCTTTCCCCTCAAATGGATGGCACTAGAGCAGATTATGCTAAGTGAAGCTAGCCAATCCCTAAAAAACAAATGCCAAATGTCTTCTTTGATATAAGGAGAGTAACTAAGAACAGAGTAGGGACGAAGAGCATGAGAAGAAGATTAACATTAAACAGAGATGAGAGGTGGGAGGGAAAGAGAGAGAAAAGGGAAATTGCATGGAAATGGAAGGAGACCCTCAGGGTTATACAAAAGAACATACAAGAGAACTATTTACTTCTAAGGCCTCTCTCCTTGGCTTGTATATGGCCATCTTTTCCCTATATCTTCATAAGGTCTTGCCTTTGTATGTCATTCTCATTTAATTACCTCTTTTATAATCTTTTCCCCAAATAGAGCCACTTTCAGAACTATGGGGAGTCAGGACTTCTACAAATGAATTTGTGTTTGTTTGTATTTGTGTGTGTGTGGGGGGAGGGGATTTGAGGGATACAATTCAGCCCACAAGTTTGTGGAAATGGGAGGAGTGTGTCACTTGAGAGTAAAATCTGTGAGTCTTTCTGGTTAAGAGTGAAAGGGTAGATTCAGGGTAAATAAAGGAAGTTTCACCCTAATAAGGCAACATTCTGGAGGGATCTTTCTCCAAGTCAAGGAGAAAATTCTAGGTCTTCTTTGGGATGCCTTGCACTGTTCCTGTTCACACCACAAAGTCACAGAAGATCCCAGGGGTGCCTGTAGGGCACAGCATCATGACTCAGAGTTTCATATAACATGCCTGAGAGTTGGCAATTTTTTCTCTTTCATATGTTCATATTAAAGTTTTGCAATTTCCTAATGCTTGCCAAAACAAGCTCTGCAGATAACTTGGGTAAAATTGTAAATAATCTCACTGGTTTCCCCATAGTTTGATCATGCACAAAAATGGACAATAGTATCCATTTTAAGTAAGCAGCTCAGTTTTCTTATAAACTTCCCTATATAGTGATTAATTTTCTTCCTTTTATTGGGATCACATAGTTTTAGAACCAAAATCCATGTCAAACAGCAGTCTCAGCAACTTACATGGACAAAGACTTTGATGTCAAGACAGTGATTAGCAATTTAAAATAGAAAAAAAAGTCTTCTTCTTATTGAAGTTGTCAAGAATTTTTTATTTGCTTAGAAGAACTTTAATTGTAATTGAAATCTTGAAATGTCACAGGGCATTCATTTTGCAAGGGAAAAAGATATAAGGAACAGATTCTTTCAGTATGTTGATTGAGCATAAAAGGAACATTGTCTTTAGCCTTGAGCTGCACTTGTTCTTTTCTTATTTTCTAAATCTAAGGTAAATGTTGCAAAAACAAAGAGTTCTGTTAGTGTGCTATTTTTGCAGAATCTTTGAGTCATAAGTACAACAGATCCTTTGGAAAAAAATGTAGGTGATAAGTAATGTACATCTATATGGTAGCCCTGAATTAAACTAGTGAACTTCTCTCTCACCAGCTGTATCAGTCAATTTTCCAACACTGTGACAAAATACCCAGGGAAAATAACCTAATGGACCAGAGGTTTATTTTGGTTCATGGTTTCACAGATTTCAGTCTATGATTACTTGGTATGATGGCTTTGGCCTGTGGTGAGACACTGCATCAGGGTTGGGAACATATGGTATTGGAGCTTCTTACCTTGTGGCAGACAGGAAGCACAGAGACAGAGGAGAAGACTGAAGTCCCAATGTCACATTTAAGGGTACACCCCTTAAATTCCTTCCAATGGAAGGAAGTTAACCAAACCTTGATTAAAGGCAACCAAGTCTCTAACACATGGGCCTTTGGGGGGTCTCTCTGGATCAAACCATAGCACTGATTGCCTACATGGAGTCAGTCTTTTCTGCTAATATTTGATCAGTGGTCCCATTTATTGGGTCTCAATGAATTTAGCATCTTAAGAGAAAATCAATGGAAATACAAAAATGAAAGTGCATATAAATCCTGATATTCATAGTGGAGAGACATATCAGTGATATCCTATCAACAAGCAAAACTACCATTATTGATGGCTTAAATTTGTAAGTTTTTTCTTATTTTTAATTAAAAAAAATTTTAATCAGATGATACAGTCACTGCCTATGACTTCCCAATCTGAACTCTTTGTTATACATGTGAAGGAAAATTTCATACTTTTGAATCAAATTATTTGCCTTTTTATTTCTGTACAAGTACTTGAAATGTCCTGGGCTAAGAAGTTTAAAAGGTCTTGAGGAATCCAGCCATGATCATTTTGGTTCTGAATTTCAGTGAGAGCATCTTGCTTGCTAAGGGAGTCAAGTGATTTACAAACAGGAATCAAGACAATTTTCACAGAAATTTTTGGGACAGGGATAAACAGCAATTCACTCAGTCCTAACTCAGATTTCATTTGAGCCCCAAGGTAATTACTTTTGGAATTACCCTTGTCCTCATAGACAGATTTTTGTTCCTTGTTTGACATGTTATATAATCTTCTGGCCTCAACTTCAGATTCTTCCAAATCTAATGACCATGACAACTTATCAAACTTTTTCTAGGGTGGAATAAGTATTCAGTACAGGGCGCACTATAGTCCACCCATGTCTCAGATGAGGGCTTCAACCAATATTGGCACATACAGAAGGCAGCCATATGACCAAGCACAAGTAATTCAGAGCAGCTGTTCTCCAATCCTCCAACTGAGCCCTTTAAAGTTTTCACTGGAAAGTCAGAATGCCAGTAACCAACCCATTGCTCCCAATTTGAGACAAAACCGTCATTCTTCATGCAAATATGTAGAGTATTCCTTTTCATTTATTTAAGGTGGATCTTGGTAAGGCCACTTTTACAGTCCTCCTAATATTGGTGGGAGATGATATGACTCTATCTTTTCAAAAGTCATAATTTAGAAAAAAAAATTATAAAAACTTTTAGATCAGCTAAAGAAACAGTGTTTTACTCCATTTCCCTTGCAATAATTAGAGATAAACTCTCTGAATTAACAAAGTGATATACTTAGAAGTCTAAATGAGTCTTGACCATTCTTTAAGATGTAAATAAATCTTTAAGATGCATTTATTTACAGGTATCCAAGGTCTGTAAAGTAAAATATTCTCTTAAGATATTTACACTACCTCTGGTTTTAAGTGAGGAAGAGATGTAATCCTTCTGGTGGATATCTGTTCCCCTAGGATTCAGAGTAATGGATGGGAGTATGACTTGTCCTAATTGCCTATAAAGAGAAACATAAATAAATTAAAATATACCCCATAGATGATCCAAATGAAGCTCTGAGAAAGAATTGGGTCCTAATGTGGTTTAGAGAAACATAAAATGTGTGTTGGTTTCCTCTTTTTATAGGAAGATGTAATGCAACTGTAGCAAGCATGGATTTTCAAGGGCTAGATATTTGATTTTTCTTTTTCTTTTCCTTTTGTTTTCTGGTTATTGGCATTTGGCATTTGCTGAAATACTTTACAATTGATTTATTTTAAGAAACTCCAACTTACACCTATGATTCTGAGGACTCAATCTTCATCTTTTGTTCTCACTAGACACAACTACTAGAAACACATTGGTAGAAAAGGCTTATCCCTTTTTCATGTTTATTTATAAGTTATATTATTCTCTATTATTTCAACATGGAAAATTTTAAAGGTGATGGTTCTAAAATCCTGAGCTACCCTTGGTTTTCTTTTCTCTAGGGTAAAGGAATGAGTTACCTGATGAGTGATACTGATGAGATGCTGACCTTCATTTAGCTATGCTGATGTCCATTTAGTCATGCTTACTAGAAGTCTAATTCATGACAACATAGGACCATCTTTTCTCTGACCCTCTGCATTCTATTCCTGCCTGAAATTTCAGGACAGACTGTCTTCATCAGCATAACCAACTGGGTAAATGAGCTCTGAGTCTGCTTATACACAAATTTCCCTTCAAGTTTGTGCCAAGTTCTATATTTGGTCGAATTTTAGGAGTATAATATAGGGAATGTCTTTTATGTTCCTGGGTGTTCTCCATTTGAATATCACCAATGAACTCTATATTTAGGAATTAATGAGTCTTCATGAATGCATTTCTATGGTCTGCTTTTTTAATTATTTAGTGGATAGAATCCTAGTATATGTCAATCCTTCATTAGAACCTACCAGCTTTTGGGAATCTTCAAACATATTGCTTATGCTCAAAAAGGCATAATGCTTCTAAAAATAACAATAACAGATCAGAATTGTCATAGTTTAAATGATGGTGTCCCCTCCCCAATCCATGTTGAAATTTAATCTCTAGTGCAACACTATAAAGAGGCATGGCCTTCAAGAGGTGATTAACACCCTCCTATAAGGTTTCAAGATTGAAAAGATCCCTGTCTTGACCTTTGGTCCATTCTGACACTGGGTTTGTCCCCTGTGAAGGATGCATTAACTACAGGTCATTTTGGAAGCAGAGAGCAGCAGTAGCCAGACACAAGTCCTGTAGATGCCTTGATCTTAGACTTCCCAGGTTGCAGAACCATCAGAAATAAATTTCCATTGTTTATAAATTACCAAGTCTGTGGTAATTTGTTATAAAAACACAAACAGACTAAGACAGGAAGTGTGGCTATAATTCCCTGTTCATGAAAATTACAGGAGGAAAAATGGTTGTTGAACTCTGGAAAAAGAATTTTTTGAGAAGACACTGTGTGGAAGTCATCATAAAATCTGTTACTTGCTAAGAACCAGTCATATATTTTATTAATAGAAATGGACAGAGATGCTGGAGCTACTATTTATTATTTATAAGGTATATCCAAATGCACCTGAGTTCTCAAGGCTTCTGATGTGCCTGCTGTAAATAGCTATGAAAGGAGATGGCTATTAGAGAAATCAGTTATTTCTTTGGCAATATCAGCCTGAAAATAAAAGAAAATGACCTCCAAAGTAAAATTCCAGTTTGTTCCTTGTACACTAAAGGTACATTTGTAAGCACCATTATCCTTCCAGGATCTAGAATCTTGGCACTACAGATGGCTAACTTTGGATGCTGTGGTTCTCTCTAAGCTGAATAATGAACCATTGAAAAGAATGCACCAAGATAATGCTTTGCCTAGCACAACCCTCTCCTTCACCTTGGATTTCTTAGAAGTGTATTGAGCAGACTCTGAAGATATGCACATCTAGAAAACTGCATAATGCAGGAATTTTGCTTGTTTTCCTGTGAGGAATGACTGGGTCTTATGATTGGGAAGAGAAGAGATGGTAGAGACAAATCAAATGCACTAGAAAGCAACTTTCCCCTTATACATTCCAGAAAAAAAACAGCATGAAGAATTATCCATTAGACACACTAGATATTATTTAAAAAGCACACACTCCCTGTTGTAGGAAGGAGGAGCTCAGCCAGGGACAGTGAGAGATGACAGCTCTCTCTTGTATTTTTACTCAGTGGACAAAGTGAAAGCAGTACAGAAAAGAACAAATTCAGGGAAGAAATAGTCATAAAAGAATGATTCCAGAAATGTCAATTAGCTGAGCTAGAAGAGACACTCTCTTAGGATGCCTTCCACATTGAGATACTACTAGAGTATTCAATAAACACTTTATAATCTTAAAGTATTTCCTTTCACTAAGGCATTCTGATGTGAGGGATATCATGGTGAATAAGATATATTTCTTGCTCTCAAAGGGCTCAAAGTCTGGAGAGCATGCTTGATCTCTATATAAAACAATTTGACAAGAGCTTACTGTATCTTTACTTTTGATTCCCGGGCATTCATCTCCCAACTGTATCAATCTCCTTGTAGGGATTTGCGCCTCTGCCTCCAGAAGTGCGGTCGATGTGAGCACATCATGGGAAGATCTCAGGTCTGAGTGTCACTTCCTACTGTGGCTGCTAGGAGGTTCCATACCAAATTCCTGAGCTTAGACAATCAGATGGCCACTCCCTGGACTTTGAGTACTCTGAGTGTGAGATTCATGGACATGGGGAGTTGGAGGTCAGATAGCCATGACAATTGTCATGGTGACAACTGTGTGGGCAGCAGGTGGGCTGTGACAGTGCAAACTTCTGTCCCTATTGTTTTTGAATTGAAATTGCCTATGGATCTTTTTAGGCAATTTTGTGTCAACTGAGTCATTGGGTGTCCAGAAATTTGATCAAGTATTATTCTAAGTGGGTCTGTGATGGTGTTTTCTGGATGAGATGTGCTTTGAATCAGTAGACTGAGTAAAGCAAATTGCCCTTCCTAATGTGAGTGGCCCTTGTCCAATCAGTTGAAGTCCCGAGTGGAACAAAAGGCCAAGTATGAATGAGGACAAAGACCTGAGTAAGAACAAAAGGCTTAAGTTGAGACTCAGTCTGGAAATATATATGTCTTGTTGTTTCTGCATCTCTAGAGAACACTGATTAGTAAACTTTTCTTCCATTCTCTGGAGGGAATCTGGGAAGAAAGATTCTCCTAGTCACTTGTACAAAAGTAATCTCTTCTCTCTCTCACACACACTTTTGGTTAGAGAAATCAAACTCTCTTTTCCTTGGAGCCAGGAATGACAACAGTGGATACAACTGACCCACAAATACAACATGGGAACCTGCCCCTGAGCTCCCTGGAGAGGGTTCATAGTAATGGTGACTGAGCTTGGGGAAGAAAGTGAAAAACTGGCATATTGCAAGGGAAAGAACCTGGACTTTGGATTTAAGATTAATTCTTGCCACATACTTTCTATAGGACTTGACAGTGTTCCCTTCATTTCCGAGTCTCAGGTTCCTCCTTCACAAAAATAACATAATATCCACCAAGGTCACCTTGTTGTGAGCATAATATGACATGATTTTCTGAAATACTTTGGTCATGGTTATTTTACAATTGGATGTATTTTCTACCCTTATTTTTCTAAATTCTAGCAAAGGACTTGGAGTTTGCTGAACAGATGAAGATTTGAATGCATTTCAGACAGAGAAACAACATGTAACTGAAGTGCAGAGGTATGGAAGAACATATTTAGGGATTGCAGCAATTGATAAGGACAACAGAGTGATAGAAAATGAAGATGGAGAGTCAAGCATGCTAACAGAAACTACAGGCCATGACACAGAGTTTCGGCTTTGTCCAATAGACCATGAGAATCATTGGTCGTTTTTAGGTAGGGAAAATAGAAAAATAATTGCATTTCATAATAATCATTCTGTAATATGTTTGGGTTGGAAAGAGGTAACCAGGAGAAGAGTGGCCAGATGATAATAGTTGTAATCATGGTAATACTTGCTAAAATAATAATAACTAAAATGTATTACCTCTTCTACATGTCAGGTGCCATCTAAGTACATAATAAACATGGTCTCAATTAACCCTTGCAATAAATAGTATTTTATTATATCTGACATAAAATAAATATTTGCTTGAAAGAGGGTAATTCAATTTCCCAAGTTGTATAAACATGGTACGCAGAAGCCCTGACAAGAAACCAGTACCACATACCCAGAAACACATACTTTTTCTCCTTGCTGCTTCTCTGCTGAGAATCCTGGGAGTGACAATGAAGGACAAAGTGATGAATCTATAGCCAGATGATATCTACAAATCAAATAATACTCTATGCTTCTTTGTATAACATTGAAAGGTTTTCAGTGGCAAGCACCAGATAAACAGCAAGAGATATTTTTCAGGTTCAGATATTTTTCAGGGCTCAGACCACACAACCAAGGAAAGAGTCAAGACACAGTACCAGGCATACAGGCCCTGGAAAGGGTATCAGAATTGCCAAAACCTTATTTCCAAGAAGGCAGTATAACCAGGAAAGAATAAATAATATCACAAAGAAAAACCTCCCGAAGCAGAGATAAAATTCAGCAGCTCATATTGGGATAACAATATAAGTGGGATTTTATATCTTCTCAGTATAATGAACAAAATTCTAACCTGAAAATGAGAGTTTGATTTAATAGAATGCATATAAGGGCTTTGATTCATCCCGTGGATATTCTAATCTTGTGTAAGAGGAATATTGACAATGGGTCCTAAAATAAATTAAGGAGATTTCTTGACAGCCATGAAGAACAGGGATAAAGAAGACCCAGAGTTCTATATTTTCATCCTTTATTGTAAATTAGAAAATGAATGCACAGCTTTAATTAAAACATTTAACTACTCCAAGTACCTCTGTGTTTCCCATACGGCTATGTATATGTTGACTGATTCACTTCTGTGCATGCAATTCTCAACATGGTGCATGATACTCAAAAGCTAAAGCAT